GCCCCAGGAGCCCTGAGCTCCACACATCTGCCTACCTGTCCTGTCCAGGGCCCGCCCTTGAATAAAGCCACCCCAGAAGCCCCAGGTGCCACGCTCCCGCTTACCTGTCCTGTCCAGGGACCAGCCTTGAATAAAGCCGCCCCAAAATTCCCAAATGCCACCTGCCCACCTACCTGTCCTGTCCAGGGCCCAGCATTGTTTTCAATTGTGAAAATCCTTTTAATGTCTGCTTTAATAGGACTTGCTGTCCTCAAGTCAATTCCAACTCAGAGTGACCCTATAGACAGAGTAGATCTGCCCCATAGGGTTACCAAGGCTATAAGTCTTTATTGATCAGATTGCCTCATTGTTCTCGCATGGTAGGAAATTACTACAGTGAGGTTGAATAACCAGCCTTGCATTAAACAGCTGAATTCTCACTTCATCATTCTGTTGTGAAGGAGACCCAGCTGCAAATGTGTAGTTGGAACAGGGATGGAAAGCTTTGTCAGATGATTATGGATATTCTTCTTTGATAACACACCAAAAATGGACTAGTGATACTTTCCCAAAGATTAGTTGAAATACAAAATCTGAAACCATATCAGTGAACTTTTTGTTCTCTGTTACATTAAAATCCTCTGGTCTGTGTTACTTTGTTCTATAGTGGTTAAAGCATTTGGCTGCTAACCAGAAGGTCAGCAGTACAAACCCACCAGCCACTGCTCAGGAGAAAGATGAGGCCATTCCCTTCTGTAAAAGTTATAGACTTGGAAACCGTATGAGGCAGTTCTACTCTGCTCTGTAGGATTGCTATGAGTTGGAATTGACTTGTTGGCAGTGGGTTGGGTGTGTCTTGCACTTTAAATGGATCATTTACCATGTGTCATTTCATAACATAATGTATTGGTCATTTGGTGAATAATTGGATTGCTGAGTCATGCAGATGTACGGTGGAAAACTCCTTTATTGTCTTGTGAGAGAATGAGTGGAAAAGGCATGTAATGTCTTAGTGGTTATGAAAATGGTTTTCACCTGAGAACCACTGCACTAGTGACAGCTCTTAAGACTCAAGAAACAGATAATTGTCACCTTAAATGATCCAAAGCACAGTGAGAAAAAAGAGAAATGATCCAGTTTATTTCATGATGCAAATGGGATTTTGACCATAAAACCTAAAAGATAACACAACTAAATTCTTAGAAAAGGAAAAAACAAAACTATAATGTATCCTTAACTATGAAAATTGACTAAACAGTCTTTTGAAAAAAATATGTTGACTTGTCTCTTGTGAAGATAAATTTGCCTTTGAGAAGGAAAGACTGCTGCTTTGTTCCAGGGGTCTGTGGTCTAGATCAAAGTGGATAGCTAGGACAGACAGTCTACTTACAGAGCCACCCACATCATTTATTCCCTGTCACACTTAGTTTCTCAAAGCAGCTGGAGCATTCCTATCCTCCTCACATCTATATTTAAAAAGAGATGAAGTTTCCGTCTTAGTTTTTTTGTTATCAGGTAGTAATGTTTTGGGCAGCAAGTAATGAAAAACCAAAGTAGATATTAAAAAAAAAAACTCACTGCCATCAAGTTGATTCCAACTCATAGCAAACCCCATTGGGTTTCTGAGGCTGTAAATCTTTATGGAAGCAGGCTGCCTTATCTTTCTTCCATGGAGCAGCTGGTGGGTTCAAACTGCCAACCTTTTGGTTAGCAGCCAAATCCCTTAACTACTACACCATCAGAGCGCCTTAGTAGTTTAAACAAGTAGGAATTTATTTGTGTTATATAACAAAAAGCTGTCAAGTATTACTCAGCCATAAAGAGAAATGAAGTCCTGACATATGCTACGTGAATGAACCTTGAGAACATTATACTGAGTGAAATAAGTAGTCAACTGTTATATAACGTATAACAGGACAACTGTTACATGATCCCACTTATATGAAATATCTAGAGTAGGCATGTATGTAGAGATCAGAGTTTATTACTAGATACCAGGAATAGACAAAGGAGCTCTGGTAGCACAGTGGTTAAGCACTCAGCTGTTAACTAAAAGGTCAGCAGTTCGAGCTCAGCAGCCAGTCCATGGGAGAAAAAAACCTGTGATCTGCTTCTGTAAAGATTATAACCTCGGAAACACTATAGAGCAGTTCTTCTCTGCCCTGTGGGGTAGCTGTGAACCAAAATCTACTGACAGCTCACATCAACACCAGGGATGGGTGGGAGGGGAGGAGAAAGGGAGACTTGCTGCTTCGGGAACACTGAGATTCTGTTAAGGATGATGGGAGAATTTGGAAATGGATAACGGTGACAGTTGAACATAATGCATTCAGTACAGTTCACTGAGTTGTACACGTGAAGAAGAGTGTTGAAATAGCGAATGTTTTGTTGCATATATATTTACCACAGTTTAAAAACAAACACACACCCATTAAACTCATGTTGGGCAAAATGCT